GCACAGTTATCTTTTTTCAATACAGTAAACATACTGCTTTTAGTGAAAGACTGGGAGGCGTTTGTTACGTAAATGGTTTTGCTCAGCAAAGTCTGACAATCTCTCTCTCCCTCCCTTCCCCTCTCAAATAGCCAACTCAAGCTTTTTTTTTCTCTTAACCTCTTCACCCAGGAGCTTTTCTGGGCATCTCCTATAGCTAAGCACAGCTTGCCAAAAAGACTGAAAAACACTGAGGACCAGCCAGTCCTGCTGAGCTCAACAGATTACTTGATCAAATTGAGTATTGGAACACCATCTTGGAAGAAGTCACATCAAAAGATAAACAGCATTTTTAGAAAAGCAGCAATGAAAAAGTAGGGGTAAGACAACTAAGCATGAACTCCCCATGGCAAAAACACACTGGTTAAAACACAGCAGCTAAATGGGTCATGAAAATCTTGGGTAATTAAGCAAAGAGGTTCTGAGCAGAAACAGGAAGGCAATACGTAACTGTAATATGCATCTACCCCGGTAACCTATGCTGGGTCCAGTTTTGGAGTCTGAACTTACACTAAAAAACTATGGTGAAAAATAGAAATAGTTCAGTATTTAACTCTAGAAAGCCTTCCTCAAGTTGACTTTCTTACTGTCTCATTTATATTTTGCTCATGCAAAAGAACAGTAAAGAGGTGACCTGAACATTCTTTAGAATGCCTACACTGAGACACGGCAAAGAACACAGCATCTGATACAGCAGAAGAAAATACAATGAGATGCAGGCTCTGGAAACCAAAGATAGAGACCCATAGGTTTAGAAGAGTAGAGGGTCTGGACCCTTTCAGGTGCTGTCCTTCCGCAGCAGTTCACCACACCGACCTTCTGCACCTCATTTACTGGTACGTGGTCCCTTCTGCAAGCACTCTGGATGTATGCAATGCCAGCAATAAAAAACCCTACAAAGATGGAAGGGATACTAAACAGTATGATATTTAAGTGTAATTCAATTAAGGGAAACAGCCCTGAGTATAGAGGTGTTGGGGGTGGGGAAATCACTTTTTGCCATCTACTAACAATGGCACAATTTTGTAACTGATCAGTTGAACAAGTTTCAAAGTTCAGGGAGAATACAGATTTGCACCACTGTGACAAAATTAAGCCTTCTGTAAAATAACTCAATCTTCTTTTCCAGTGCATCCTGTACACCAGCTAATTTCATACAAGAATTTGCTTTGGCATAAATTAAGAGTATTGTATACAGATACGGATAATTCAGTGTAAAAACAGCAGGTTCCCTAGCTTTCTGAATCTCTGTACAGAATACTGTATTTTAATTGTTCTTTAGTGAAAATGAACCAGAACAGGAACTTACCCGTATATTTCCATCTTCTGTAAGTCAACTTTTCCAGATAAAAGTAGTTTTTGAAGCAGTATTTTCTAGCTCACCTCAAAACATTAGAATGCAAGACAATATTGTATAAGCATCTACTCAAACTGTAACTAGCAGAGAAACAATTCCCCGTCCCGCCTTTTTTTCTAAACGCCTAATTTATATAAAATAATTTGTCATACAGTTCCTTCAGGATGAAGGATGAGAGGCAATATACCTGTACTTCTTTACTCCTCAAGTCCAGTGGACCACGGACTTGTACCATGGTATGTTCTAGGCTGCCTGCAGAGCCCCTGCCGAGCCAAGGGCAGGTGTGCTGGTCAGATGCCACTGGCTGCCCAATTGCCTTAAAAGACAGCCAAGTATAAATTTACTTCTTAACGTTAGCTTTAATAATACGTTTGCGATTGCATAATTCTTCATGAAAGCGATTGCTACCGCTGTTAGTATTTTGTAATGATGACTGGAAAGGGAATTCGAGTGTCATTTATAGGCTACCCTGCTTTCACTCCACTGATAGGTTCAATTAGCACCCTTGCAACGCCACGTATAGCCCTACACCAACGTAACGCTTGCTCCTGTTCAAACTTCAAACAGTTACAGAGCAAGTTTTAAACGCGAGTACGATCAATTGTTGGAAAGACCATCAGATTGTTGTAAATTGAAAAGCAATTCAATACAACATTTGGGGAATTTTATTTAAGAATAAAGCATAACTAGAATATGAAACAAGCATTCAAAGTCAGAGAAGAAATTAAAGTGCTTGCTTTAGAGTAAATTAGAAACATTTTTCAAAGATGCAGGAATACAACAAATACAATTGTGTGTGGTTCTTTTTCTTTAGTGAAGAGCAAGTAAATTTGCTGTCTTAAAACCGCATCTTAAACCTTGTTCACTCTACGGTTGATCTCAACATGACACATGTAGCTCACTTTCTAAACCCGGAGACTATAATTATACTGGAAGAACAAAGGCTGAGGTAATTCCTGACTAGAAAACTTTGTTACAGAGTCACTTGACATCCCAGAAGTTTTCCCAATACTTGATATCATCTTGTTCAGGAGGCCACCAATTAAAAGACAAATTCGAGGAGCAAGGGAGCAAGACTCATGTCCACGTTTCTGTTAATTTTACTCAGAAATATAAAAGTGCAAGTTCTGTAAATTAACAACATTTACAGTACATCACAATAAATATGCCACTTTGTGACATCTAAAAATTCTAGTTATTTATTTGAAATGAGTCATATTGAGATAAAAACTGCATCAACATCAACAAAAATACCTGACCCAGTGAAGATATTAACTAGCAAGATGCATATTCCGTTATTGCTATTAGACCATGCCTCCGAGTTCCAAAGTATAAAAACTTATCAGTTTACACAAAATACAGTTGAAATTTTTCTCATCACAGGCACAATCTAACATAAAAAATAATTTTGACATTTACAATGTAGGAGATTCTCCTACGAGGGGAGGAAAAAAAAAATAATTAATACAGAAACAGATAGTTCTATTTCAGTGATGATTCGCTAAATCCACAGAAAAGCTGCAATTTGCACAGAGTTAAACTGTGATATGAATATATAGTGTCTTTCCATACCCACTCCCGGCCTGGTGAGAACAACAGGCCTTTTAGTAAATTTACTACAATTTGCTAGCTACCTCCAAGTATGTAGACCCTAGATATCCCAACACAAGTCGCATGCAGGTGCTTTGTGTCCTGAACAGCCTAGTCTCACATTATATTTAAGTAATGTATTTAAAAGGAATTTTGTCAGTAACTGTACCGTTTCTAGTTATTTACCCAGAATGGACTGTGTCTCTCATTGCAAAACATTGAGTCAGATAGGACAAAATAAGATTTCAAGTACATTAAAGCCCATTTTTAAAATCATTATTTGAATTCTGTAGCCGCTATATATACAATATATTGTTTTCTAGGCAATACTTATTTGGATTGAGCAAATAAGGTTGAACACTCATTTGTGACTCAATATTACTGTCAAAGTTGAATAAAAAAACCAGTGTACTATCTGTAACACACCTAGATTATAGAAAAATAAAACTGTTTTTTTAAGAGTTAGGAGTCCCTCCTCTCCTTCAGGAACTGCAACAGAAGTGTTTAACTGCTCTAGGAATGCCTTTCATAGCAGGAACTGTGTATTTCTAGAGAGAAATAAAAGTGTCTCAACAGTTTCATTTGGCCTGCCAAATAGGATATTACTTTTCTCCTCCATATCAGTCTTGCTTTAGATGCAACCTCAAAAGCAAATCAATGAAGGTTAGGTGTGGGCAAGGTCTAAACCTTTGGCAACATACTCTACAAAAAGGTAAGGGGGGGGGGAAAAAAGAGTTTAAGCTAAGGAACTGTTTAAGGCAACCTGACCAAAGTAAAGATAAGGCTTTTGGATAACTATTTCCAAGGATATCCAGTTTTCTTAGCTTTGCAAAGTAACATAATTCAGCTAACTTTCTGGTCAGATTTCCATTCATAAACTTCTTTAAAAAAATATTTACCTGCCTAGAATATGATATTAACTGAATATAAAACATAAGGAGATACTACATATTACAGACAAAAGTAAAAAAAAAAGCTACAGATGAGCACACAAATGGCCAAGTATTAAAAATTATATGGTCATGATAAAAGTTTTAAGCTCTCCGAGGTATTTCAATATCTGAACACCGCAGGTTTGGAATGCCATATAGAGACTTAGGATATCATAGTATTGGTATAACTACCAAAGTAGATTTTCGGTTTTGTGTTTTGTTTGGTTGTTTTTTTTTAATACCTTTAAAGGTCACTGCTATAAAGATTCGGCAGCTTGAATGAAAAATATGTAAAATTACTGTATCTGGCCTATGTATTTTAACATAATATTCAGAATATTAAGAGCAGAAATAAGAACTGCCCACACTGTGATTGCATGTCAAACAAAGTAAGTATTTGGCTGGAATGTACCAGAAGCAGGGATCCTAAATATTGACGTAATTTATATCACAAGAATGAGCTGGGTTGGGAGGGAAGGAATGAAGAATGGTAGGGGATACGAGGTTAAAAATTCACACATTAGTCATCATGAAGTCACTGACATAAACCGCTAAAATTTAGTAAGATCTGCTTTTTGTGGCCGAACAGTTTTCCTCCTCCTGTGCACTGGCTAATGCTTGAAGGAAAAAAAAAGTGTTCTGACCATTCCCAATTTCAACATTTACACAAATTACTTTTATTGTATTATTCTAATCAAAACAGAAGTGCTCCCCTTGGCATATTTTAGATCTAGATCTATTTTAAAAGGTAAAAATCACCCCTGCCAATATTGTTGAAGTAAATCATGTGTGCTTATTTAGGCTCACCCACAGAGTTACAAGCAATTGTGTTCAGCGTGGTTTAAACAAAATAAAAACTGAAGAGTTAAAAACACAAGGTCACTTAACCTTCTTCCTGGTTGATTTACTTTTAGTTAAAATTTGTAATGTTTTACTAAGCCATACCAACTCTGACCATACTAGGAAAGTGTCTCTGGCACAAGTGGTTTTCAGAAGAAAAGCTGGTCTTCCCAACAGCTTTTTCTTCTGCTTCATCTTAAAGTGCAGAAACTGTGGGAAAGGGTAACAAGACTTCCTGTCCGTCACTGTGGAACTACTTCCCTTAGAGAGGCTAAGGCTGCATGTATGCGGACGTGCAATCTGTTCTCAAAGTCATAGCCAGTAAATTCCTCCTAGGAGGGGGAAAAAAAAAACAACAAAAAACCCCATGTAACTATTAGCCTCCTTCACTTTATGATACGAAGATAATTTTACTACTAATGCCTAAGAAGCCACGTTACAAAACAGACCGAAGAAAAGAGGTGAACTGGAGATTGCATGTTGCAATATCCCCGCATCACCCAAAGTAACAGAATTATTACAGAAATTCCTAGTTGGTCAAGAAAGCAGAAAGCTTCCATTTCCAACATGCTGTTTGGATCCCATGTAGTTGGAACAGCACCTAGGAATTTCTGCAAGTCCAAAAGCTCTAGAACATCCCAACATGCCCAAGGCAGGAACCAGTCGGACAGGTAAGAAGTGGCGACTTGTCATTTTCAAACTTTCTGTAGCCAAGTCTTAGTTGAAAAACTTGGCAAGGTTCTAACACTCCAGGAGAGGTCACTAACGCAGGCTGTGTGCTATGACTGACCTAGAAATACATATCTACATAACATACATAAATGTGTATCACATACATTGATGTGTATCTACATGATAATGTTGTAGATTACAGGTAAGGGGCACTGACACTTAACATCCACCGCCCCTGCCCCAAACCCCCAAAAACACAACTTCTCAAATGCCCTCATCTCAGAAATGTAAATTTGAAAGTATCTTAGTTTTTACCTTGGCTTGGAGAAGTAAGGTTTTGCCTCTTGGCACAGTCTACAAAGAGACAAACATGGCATTAGAAATGCATTGAAAATGTTACAGAAAATATCTTAAGTATATGGCCTGGTCAGTCCAGAATAGCATCTCTATCTTGAAAACAAGGTACCAGGCAGACAAAACCCTCTCAAATTAGGAAACTAGAAATACAAATGAGGCACCCAAGAAATGCAGCATTACATATTTCTAGTCTTCCACAGAAAAGGAGAAATTACAGCTTTAAATGCAAGTTGCTACTGATGATGGTGAGCGACAACAATGTGCAGGGAAACAAATGAGGCTACAGATGACTAACTGATCAATAGAGTAATTTTTGTTTCTTAACCAAAGTTTAAGCCATTTATTTACAAAACAAGTTACTGGATTTTAAGCATTAAAAGTTGTTTCAGAAATCTCAATTTCAAACTTTTAAGGAAAAAATATACATATTTGCAGATTAATATTTACTACTGAAAAGCTCATGTTTTATTTCTTATCATACAGTACATTTTTATTTTAAGCTTTACAAATAAATAATCAACTGCCTGATAAGTAGACAGAAAAAATAAGTTTTCTTATTCAAATATATGAATATGAATACATGTGTATTTATATTGGTTAAATTACATTCACTGTCTACAACAGCTACAAAAAAATCTGTAAACTTCTTGACATAACCATATTAAAATCTTAAAGAACTTGATTAGAACGAAGTCTAAAATAACAAAGATGATTCAGATGACGTGATAAATCAAACATGTAATTATGAGTAATTCTGAAGTAAAGTAAATTTAAGAACAGCATGCTTTTTATACTAACATGCATATTCATACACCTGTATCTGTTGCTCAGGTTTTTTTAATATGCTCAGCCTCTCAGGTAAATGTGATTTATAAAATCCTATTCTCTTCTCTTTCTTAATCATTATAGAGCTCTCCCATGACACCTCAGCTAGTAAATGGAATTTTCTATAAACAGCATCCACTCGCCTCTAATTCTAGCTCTTGCTTTTCCCCACCCCATCCCACTTTATTCAAGTCAAGCATCGTTTATCTCCTCATTGTCTGAGTGCCACGAGAGGGAGTTTCCTGCATGTCTTTCACATACTAAGCGCTTCTCAGTACAGCTACAAGCCGAGGCTTGTTCAGTCCTCAAACACCCGATACAAAGCACATTCGGTTATACTGTGTGCACATTCTACACGTAAAGCAGGAAGGAAGGAGTGTTCCCACATTCTCAAAATCTTCAGATAAAAAAAAAGTGTGGTGGGTAGTGAAGTTAAGAGATACTTGACACAATCAAATTTAAATATGAACATGGAAAAAAAAGGCAGCAGGAACATTAGTGGACTCAGACCTCTCTACCACGCTTCAAGGCCCAGTTCTAAGTCATAGGGCAGCAGGGTTTTCAAAAAAGAACTATTATTTTTAAAAGCATTTTCTCTAGTTTTGTCTTTTGTCATGATAATAACTTCTATTGGAAGATTTTCCTTTCCTTCCCTCTTTAAGGGGAAGGTTCAGCTTAGATTGTTAAATCTGACAAGATTAAAAACAACTGAAAACAGAATCTTAAGAATATGAGATACTATCAGCCCAACTACTTCATACACTACATACAATGACGCGGGGGTTCAAGTCATTACCCTGTAACTGCTTCCCCTAACTTGCAATCGGATTCAGGAAGTACTACATAAAGCAGCATAAACTCCAAGTAGCAGTGTTGCATGTTTGAGGGAAACAACACCAAGAGTGGTGCAGAAGTTGCCCTAGTTTAAGATTCTCTGGGCTCCCTAAGAGGCAGGGTACATGCAAAGACGTGAACGATCAAATCATCATCAACCAAGCCATTTGGACAGTCTGAAAGCCAGGTGGATTATTTTCCTCCTCATCCTGAACAACAAAAACCTCACTACTCAAGGTGAAAGCCAAAATGCCAACACATACAGCTTTAATGGAACTGAAATGACTGAAATCACTTTACTTATACATCCCCTGCAATGAAATAGTACGATGGTATGTGTGCCCTCAGTCCAGCTAGGTTTCCAAGATGCACTGATGTGCGAGATTAGAATCATAGAATAGTTTGGGTTGGAAAGGACATCTACAGGTCATCTAGTCCAACCCCTCTGCCATGGGCAGGGACATCTTCAACTAGATTAGGTTGCTCAGAGCCCCGTCCAACCTGACCTTGAACGTTTCCAGGAATGGGGCATCCACCACCTCTCTGGGCACCCTGTGCCAGTGTTTCACCACCCTCAGCGTAAAAAATTTCTTCCTTATATCTAGTCTAA